TGACTTTTGAAGCTGCAATATATAATGCGGAGGCATAGTTTCCAGACCCCCCAAACATAGCCATAGGAACCTGAACCACACATCTTCTTTGTACTTGTTCTAATCCAATCACATCTAATTATGCTTACTAGATGACCAATTACTCGAGCCCAACATCTTAACATTGCGTATCATTAAAGCCCCTATCATAAATGAAGATGACACACATTTGTGTGTCATAAAATTCAACAATCATTTACAATACGCATTTACGACACATTTACGAATAATAATAAAACAATTCATTTCATACGATAAATGTATTAACATTTAAACTAAATCACATTGAATAATCTCATTATACAAAAATATAATGTATACAAATAATCTCTCTAAGTTTGACCTGAAAAGTATAATCAATAACTAATGGAACACTAGAAGGGATTAAGATACATGAATCAACTTTCACCAAATCAAGAAGCAGCAGCATATCATCCTCAAACATGATCTGTGTGAAAACATGACCAGAATTGTCAACCATCATAAAAAAACCACAAATTATGAGAAAAAATTACAAAAAAAGCTTATACTTACCAAGTGTTGTCTTGTGTATTGATGTTAAATCGCTTGATCATACCAAGTGATCTAAAAAACACATAAATCTTTAAAAAACACATTTTATAGACAAGGAGGGTATACCTGTCTTTTTAGGCCAATTGATTGGATTTATATATCACATACATGCATAATAATTTAGCTTGATCACAGATCTAAGTCATAGCCTTGACTCGGGTATCTGCTGGCACTGCCAAATCCTTCATGAAATGTGAGAAAGTTGGGGATTTCTGAGAGGTTGCAACAAGATCAAGAAGCTCGGCTTTAACCTTTTCCAATGTTTTGACTTTTGAAGTTGCAATATATAATGCGGAGGCATAGTTTCCAGACCCCCCAAACATAGCCATAGGAACCTGAACCACACATCTTCTTTGTACTTGTTCTAATCCAATCACATCTAATTATGCTTACTAGATGACCAATTACTCGAGCCCAACATCTTAACATTGCGTATCATTAAAGCCCCTATCATAAATGAAGATGACACACATTTGTGTGTCATAAAATTCAACAATCATTTACAATACGCATTTACGACACATTTACGAATAATAATAAAACAATTCATTTCATACGATAAATGTATTAACATTTAAACTAAATCACATTGAATAATCTCATTATACAAAAATATAATGTATACAAATAATCTCTCTAAGTTTGACCTGAAAAGTATAATCAATAACTAATGGAACACTAGAAGGGATTAAGATACATGAATCAACTTTCACCAAATCAAGAAGCAGCAGCATATCATCCTCAAACATGATCTGTGTGAAAACATGACCAGAATTGTCAACCATCATAAAAAACCACAAATTATGAGAAAAAATTACAAAAAAAAACCTTATACTTACCAAGTGTTGTCTTATGTATTGATGTTAAATCGCTTGATCATACCAAGTGATCTAAAAAACACATAAATCTTTAAAAAACACATTTTATAGACAAGGAGGGTATACCTGTCTTTTTAGGCCAATTGATTGGATTTATATATCACATACATGCATAATAATTTAGCTTGATCACAGATCTAAGTCATAGCCTTGACTCGGGTATCTGCTGGCACTGCCAAATCCTTCATGAAATGTGAGAAAGTTGGGGATTTCTGAGAGGTTGCAACAAGATCAAGAAGCTCGGCTTTAACCTTTTCCAATGTTTTGACTTTTGAAGCTGCAATATATAATGCGGAGGCATAGTTTCCAGACCCCCCAAACATAGCCATAGGAACCTGAACCACACATCTTCTTTGTACTTGTTCTAATCCAATCACATCTAATTATGCTTACTAGATGACCAATTACTCGAGCCCAACATCTTAACATTGCGTATCATTAAAGCCCCTATCATAAATGAAGATGACACACATTTGTGTGTCATAAAATTCAACAATCATTTACAATACGCATTTACGACACATTTACGAATAATAATAAAACAATTCATTTCATACGATAAATGTATTAACATTTAAACTAAATCACATTGAATAATCTCATTATACAAAAATATAATGTATACAAATAATCTCTCTAAGTTTGACCTGAAAAGTATAATCAATAACTAATGGAACACTAGAAGGGATTAAGATACATGAATCAACTTTCACCAAATCAAGAAGCAGCAGCATATCATCCTCAAACATGATCTGTGTGAAAACATGACCAGAATTGTCAACCATCATAAAAAAAACCACAAATTATAGAAAAAATTACAAAAAAAACCTTATACTTACCAAGTGTTGTCTTATGTATTGATGTTAAATCGCTTGATCATACCAAGTGATCTAAAAAACACATAAATCTTTAAAAAAACACATTTTATAGACAAGGAGGGTATACCTGTCTTTTTAGGCCAATTGATTGGATTTATATATCACATACATGCATAATAATTTAGCTTGATCACAGATCTAAGTCATAGCCTTGACTCGGGTATCTGCTGGCACTGCCAAATCCTTCATGAAATGTGAGAAAGTTGGGGATTTCTGAGAGGTTGCAACAAGATCAAGAAGCTCGGCTTTAACCTTTTCCAATGTTTTGACTTTTGAAGCTGCAATATATAATGCGGAGGCATAGTTTCCAGACCCCCCAAACATAGCCATAGGAACCTGAACCACACATCTTCTTTGTACTTGTTCTAATCCAATCACATCTAATTATGCTTACTAGATGACCAATTACTCGAGCCCAACATCTTAACATTGCGTATCATTAAAGCCCCTATCATAAATGAAGATGACACACATTTGTGTGTCATAAAATTCAACAATCATTTACAATACGCATTTACGACACATTTACGAATAATAATAAAACAATTCATTTCATACGATAAATGTATTAACATTTAAACTAAATCACATTGAATAATCTCATTATACAAAAATATAATGTATACAAATAATCTCTCTAAGTTTGACCTGAAAAGTATAATCAATAACTAATGGAACACTAGAAGGGATTAAGATACATGAATCAACTTTCACCAAATCAAGAAGCAGCAGCATATCATCCTCAAACATGATCTGTGTGAAAACATGACCAGAATTGTCAACCATCATAAAAAAACCACAAATTATGAGAAAAAATTACAAAAAAAAACCTTATACTTACCAAGTGTTGTCTTATGTATTGATGTTAAATCGCTTGATCATACCAAGTGATCTAAAAAACACATAAATCTTTAAAAAAACACATTTTATAGACAAGGAGGGTATACCTGTCTTTTTAGGCCAATTGATTGGATTTATATATCACATACATGCATAATAATTTAGCTTGATCACAGATCTAAGTCATAGCCTTGACTCGGGTATCTGCTGGCACTGCCAAATCCTTCATGAAATGTGAGAAAGTTGGGGATTTCTGAGAGGTTGCAACAAGATCAAGAAGCTCGGCTTTAACCTTTTCCAATGTTTTGACTTTTGAAGCTGCAATATATAATGCGGAGGCATAGTTTCCAGACCCCCCAAACATAGCCATAGGAACCTGAACCACACATCTTCTTTGTACTTGTTCTAATCCAATCACATCTAATTATGCTTACTAGATGACCAATTACTCGAGCCCAACATCTTAACATTGCGTATCATTAAAGCCCCTATCATAAATGAAGATGACACACATTTGTGTGTCATAAAATTCAACAATCATTTACAATACGCATTTACGACACATTTACGAATAATAATAAAACAATTCATTTCATACGATAAATGTATTAACATTTAAACTAAATCACATTGAATAATCTCATTATACAAAAATATAATGTATACAAATAATCTCTCTAAGTTTGACCTGAAAAGTATAATCAATAACTAATGGAACACTAGAAGGGATTAAGATACATGAATCAACTTTCACCAAATCAAGAAGCGGCAGCATATCATCCTCAAACATGATCTGTGTGAAAACATGACCAGAATTGTCAACCATCATAAAAAAAACCACAAATTATGACAAAAATTACAAAAAAAAACCTTATACTTACCAAGTGTTGTCTTATGTATTGATGTTAAATCGCTTGATCATACCAAGTGATCTAAAAAACACATAAATCTTTAAAAAAAACACATTTTATAGACAAGGAGGGTATACCTGTCTTTTTAGGCCAATTGATTGGATTTATATATCACATACATGCATAATAATTTAGCTTGATCACAGATCTAAGTCATAGCCTTGACTCGGGTATCTGCTGGCACTGCCAAATCCTTCATGAAATGTGAGAAAGTTGGGGATTTCTGAGAGGTTGCAACAAGATCAAGAAGCTCGGCTTTAACCTTTTCCAATGTTTTGACTTTTGAAGCTGCAATATATAATGCGGAGGCATAGTTTCCAGACCCCCCAAACATAGCCATAGGAACCTAAACCACACATCTTCTTTGTACTTGTTCTAATCCAATCACATCTAATTATGCTTACTAGATGACCAATTACTCGAGCCCAACATCTTAACATTGCGTATCATTAAAGCCCCTATCATAAATGAAGATGACACACATTTGTGTGTCATAAAATTCAACAATCATTTACAATACGCATTTACGACACATTTACGAATAATAATAAAACAATTCATTTCATACGATAAATGTATTAACATTTAAACTAAATCACATTGAATAATCTCATTATACAAAAATATAATGTATACAAATAATCTCTCTAAGTTTGACCTGAAAAGTATAATCAATAACTAATGGAACACTAGAAGGGATTAAGATACATGAATCAACTTTCACCAAATCAAGAAGCAGCAGCATATCATCCTCAAACATGATCTGTGTGAAAACATGACCAGAATTGTCAACCATCATAAAAAAACCACAAATTATGAGAAAAAATTACAAAAAAAAACCTTATACTTACCAAGTGTTGTCTTATGTATTGATGTTAAATCGCTTGATCATACCAAGTGATCTAAAAAACACATAAATCTTTAAAAAACACATTTTATAGACAATGAGGGTATACCTGTCTTTTTAGGCCAATTGATTGGATTTATATATCACATACATGCATAATAATTTAGCTTGATCACAGATCTAAGTCATAGCCTTGACTCGGGTATCTGCTGGCACTGCCAAATCCTTCATGAAATGTGAGAAAGTTGGGGATTTCTGAGAGGTTGCAACAAGATCAAGAAGCTCGGCTTTAACCTTTTCCAATGTTTTGACTTTTGAAGCTGCAATATATAATGCGGAGGCATAGTTTCCAGACCCCCCAAACATAGCCATAGGAACCTGAACCACACATCTTCTTTGTACTTGTTCTAATCCAATCACATCTAATTATGCTTACTAGATGACCAATTACTCGAGCCCAACATCTTAATAATGATGTAAACTACTTGTCCTCTGTCCACATTCATAATATTTGTTATTGCTCTAGTAGGAAGAAATAAAAGTAAATATAATAATGAAATTATTGACAAGTGGGGCCCACCTGAATGGCCTTTGGATAGTCATATGTTCGTGGATGCTTCTAGTGATCTGCACCAATGAGATATAGTCTAGCATTGTTTGAATACGCCTCAAACTTTGCTTCAGCAACTAAGTAGCAAATTTGTGCAGCAATAATCTGAATCATTTGTTATATGTAATCACAACCTCATAATCAAACATGAATATTCTTTTTTTTTTTTTTTTTTATTACTTAATGGAATTATGGAACTTACATTACTTGTTTCCTTCCACAAACAATCTCCAAGATGAATAAGCACCAATTCATCATCTTTGGTCCTGTTAGCAGTAATCATATCCAAATTCTCTTCCCAATCATCAATCATAACATTAGCACCAAACTGAGCCTACACAAAACAACAAAGTTAGCAGCTTGGATACCTGTTTTTGTCTTTTTTCTTTTTGAATTTCATAAATAATTAATATAATCATTAAATTTTACAAAAGAAAGGTAAATTTCAATTTTCACATTGCACCCTGCACTGCACTCAATATCACTCTCATATTTTACAAATCAAGTAATCATAAAATGACAAAAAGGACAGAGTTGACTCGCCTGAACTGTTGATGATACCCTAGTAAAAGAAGCAAGTTTTTTGCCCACCGGGCTTACCGCTACAGACTCATAAAGTTTTTCAGCAATCTCTTCATCCTATTCCAAAAGGGTACATTTGTCATTTCTGAATAACTACTTCATACTTTATCCAATAAACTTTATATTGAGAATGAAAAATTTTCAACATACCACATTCTTGGCCATAAGCCTGTTTTTTAGACCCTTCAAGGCCACTTCAAGATCTGCCTTCTCCAAAGTTTCCTTCCCAGCAATGCTGAATTAACAACTGTATTGTTAAAATGGCTGAGTGGATAACAACATCTATATGGATAAAATGTTGTATACATAAACTGTGATACCTTTTCTAGACTGAATGACCATTTTACCCTTACATTCAAAGAAAGAAAATCAAATTTCACAACATTCATCAATTTTTAATGTGATAGGAGTTGTGAGGAAAAAACAAGTTAGTGTCTTAATATATTACACCAGCTTAAGCTATTAAGTCATTATGACCAGATTAAGTAAAAACAACAACCATAAATAGATGTCCAGATAAAGTGCTTAACTCATTAAGCCCAACAACTTGCAAGTGCTAAAAATGAAAATAAATAAATAAATAAAAGCACCACATCTTAACTACAGGTACATTTTAAGTCCAGTCAAATCATTTATCTTCCTGAAAACCAAAATGCAAAATTAAAGTAAGTTTCATTAGTGGATGAAAAATTAGTTAAATTTATTTAACACAAAGTCGGCTCACAATTCTTGTAAGTTTGTCAACAGAGATATTGTAGAAGGAATAGGTCCCTCCATCGATGTTCCTTGCCAATCACTACATGATAAATGATTTTATTAAAATGAAAAACCAAAAATATTTGGAAAATGGAAAAGATTTATAAAACTAGGAACAAGAAAAGCAAGATAATATACTCACAGTCTTATGAGCCTTGTCCAGTTTCCAATAGGATCAGGGAGATAATATAATCACATTCTAAAATCACTCTTATATTACCTGACCCACCAAGAATCTGGTGGGATTGAATGGAATAAAATTAAAATTTTGGTATGACCATGTTTCTCAAAAGAAGAAAGAAACATGGCATCAATTGTAGACTGTTCAAAAGACGTCTCAGTTATCTAATTCAAGAAACAATTTGCAAACTATCATCACATGAGCACTAATTTTGATCCCTTGTGCAGCTTTGATTTATTTATGATGAATGTAGGCTCCCTAAATCAAACAACAAAAAAAACTCATAAAGACCGGAGATAACTCATGAATTTGAAAAAAATAACATTTTTCAAATTTAAAAAGCCCAAAAAGGTTTAAACAGATCCCTCACCTTTACACGAAGTTGCTGAATTCATTGGATGAGGAGTCAACAATGATCAGATTGTTGTATGAATTGGTCCCTGAACAAGCATTGTTTGGTAAATAAAAAATAGCATCATTCTTCCATATATTTATTTATTATAGCATACAAACAGAAAGTGACTCAAATGTAGCAACAAATTGTTTGCACTTGCTTGAAAGCCACAAACAACAATCTCATCTCCTTCATGAAGCACGCCATTAACCAAAACCACTTCAATGGTTGTTCCAAGGCATTCTATCACTTCAACCTCCAACACCGTACAGTACAAAAAATTTCATTCCAAGAATCAGTGATCAAAACTCTCATAGAAATGGAAAAAAATGGAAGTGGAAAAATAAGATATATATATATATATATATATATATATATATATATATATATATATATATATACCTGAATATCACTGCTGTATGTAAGTTTTGCAATCATTGTCTTCTAGCCCATTGGACAAGTAGTAATATCTCAGGTATGCCTTCACCACTGAATTTCCACCAAAAGCAAAAAATTTGGTTCAAAATTCAATACCCGATATTTAAATGGTGTGTGAACAATAGATCACATAAAAAACTCCCTGATAGCACTTGTGGGTACAATACTATAAGTTTCCCCTCTGTCTTTGTTCTTGCTGTACAATTCGGTATTCAATCCTTGCTCCTTGAATTCTATAATTATCTGAAATCACAAAGCACAAATCATGAGAAAGACAGCAAGAAAAGAAAACGTATGTTCTTGTGGGATTACAAATTTCTAATTACCTGAGTGAGCCTATGCTCGAATTCAAGTTGAACATCTTTGGACTGAAGTTTCATTGCTTTCCCAGTTGGTGCATTGCGACACGTTTTCCACCCATATAATCTGTCAACCTTATTCAAGGCCACAATGAACTCTGTATTCCTCATTCTCAATAGATTTAGTGATTTAATAGTCTGTGGTTCGAACCCATGCATAATGGCAACAACCAAAATGGCAATATCACATAACCCAGAACCCTGAGACCTTAAGTTCTTGAAGGACTCATGGCCAGGTGTATCGATAACTAATAAACCAGGGACATTGAGTATTGAATCAGCTTTCAATTATTTTGTTCTCTCACAAATGTTCTCAGCTAGAATGTAAGTGGCACCAATTTGTTGAGAGAAAATGTCAGAAGGGGGCAGCCATGAGGAGCCAATGATCGAGAGAAGCAAATGGAGGGTATATGAAATGTGTGTCTGTATAATGTTTATAAGAAACGAGAACCCACCCCTTTGATTTCAATTTTGTGGCCTAGTGACGAAAAACCCTTCTAGACTCCTTGATTTCTGCCGACTGGTGTAGGAGAAAGGAGAAACGCTCATGGTTCTCCGATTGAGGATTTTACATATTTGACTGAGAGAAGTCGAGCGAGGGAAGATTCCCGATCAAGTCATCCATCTTAAAACGCATGTAGAATCGGTATATAACCAGTGGTTAGGTGACATTTATCAAATAGGAATTACAAAACTACCTCGCACATCAAAGGATAAATGCACGCGCGCGGTTAGGTGAGCTTTATCCCACAATGACCATATAAGTGACGAGTGAGTGTCTTTTAAGAGGACGACATAGACTTGCATTTTAAAGGGATTTATACGTTTTATAATTATAGTTTTAAAAGCATATTGTATCATGTATATTTCATGCATTCAATAATACATTGTACATTTCAGAAAAATCACATTTTATTTTATTGGTTCATTTTAGTTCAACTTTTAATATATTGTATTAACTTTTGAGTTTGTGTGTTAGGAACCAATTTTAGTCTTTTAATAATCATTTATTATTTAGACATGGAGTTCGCCATGAGTTTTAAAATCTCTATTTTATCCCTTTTTTTTATCAATTTCAAAGACTTGAAGACTTTTAGAATAAAATCCCTTTTATTTTGAAAATCCATTTTTAGCATCTTATGTTTAAAGTTATTGTTTTTGAAAATAAAAAAACTCCATGATGATATGTATGTAGTTGTTTTGGTTGTCTAGCATGCAAAATCCTATTTCATCCATGCAATCAATATAACAATATACAATCATCACACACAAACATGGGTGCATAAACAAAGCCATAACTATGTTATATTTCATGTGAGTCATACATGAAATATCAAGTCCTTTTCCTAAGGGACATTAGGGACCAAAAATCTTCAAGATTTGTTGTTGTTGAAGCTCCCACTTAAGAAGAAATCCAATGTATGCAAGATGATGAATTCTCTATTAATTTCAGTGTTGTAAAAATCGGGCTAGGCGGCCGCCTAGGCGCTCGGTACCCTCTTACCGTCTACGATTAATGCTAGTCGGTCGAGTTAGGCGGAGTCGGTCATGGGCAATCGTAGGTGGTCCTGGGCGTTCCTAGGCGGCCACAATTTTCAATTTTTTCAAAATTTCAAATCTTCAAATTTAAAAAAAAAAAAAAAATTCAAAGCTTTTCGAATTTTCGAAAATTTTTAAAATTTCAAATTTTCAAATATTTATTTCTTAAAATATAATAATTTTTGAATAAATTTTATATATCATAACAAAATAAGTAAATAATCATAACAATTTGTCATATTTAATATTTTTGTTAGGATATAAGTAATATTTAATTTAAAAAAAAATAAATTTCAACACAATTAAGGGTCCCCTCCTGGGCGCCGATTAATCTCCGCCTAGACCGATTAGTCGCATAACCCTAGTCGACCGCTTTACTCCCTCCTAGCGACTTTTACAACCTTAACTAATTTTAACACGTTCCAACAACATGCACCACTTCATAGAAATGTTGCATTCGGGGCTGTTGCTTCAACTTCATAGAATCTGATGCAACACTTCACAAAAAATGTTGTGTTTTCCACTGCTATTAAAATTAATAAATTTCAACTCTTTTCGATCTTCAAAATGGCTTCATCTTCATTTCTTGTTACATCTTAAAGTACTTATACTAGATTACAAACTAATCTAATATTTACAACATAAAAAATGAAGAGTTTCCTATTTACTATTACAAACCATTTGAATGAATAAATAATATTACAACCATATCGAAAAGTCCAACAACACACAATGCATCGTCCATAGCTTGTTTATGCACATATAATCATACAAAAATTATCAAATAATATTTTGTTTTTCTAAGGGAACGTCAATGTGATCAAATTCATGTAGTTAAAAAAACTTGATCACATTTTCTCTCTTAAAACTAGCATTGCATGTTGCTAAAGAGGCCATGCATGAACTTTTCATACGAGCATGAAAATCGTCCATGGCTTCCAAAAACCAAATATTTTCATTTCATCAATAAAATCTATGCATGCATGTAAAGAAGGCTTTAAAACCACTTGATGGAAACATGGTGTTCAAGATCAAGTTTCGAAACATAAAACTTTTGAGTTCGCAACGGAAGACTTTAAAATAAAACTTGAACAACATAGATTCTGACAAAGCATCACATTACATGAACATGCAATATTTAAATCAACAACCATAGAAGGATAAGATTAACAACCTTTGTTTTCCTTTGGTCCTCACAGGAGGTTGAACGATGATGATGATGGCAATAACCCAAAGTAGATTCCATCTAGAGAAAGTCCACCAAAAGCTCCAACACTAGATGAATGCTAGTTCAACTCTTTGATAATATAACCTTTTAAGCTTGAACCACCAAGAATGAATTTTTGGTGTTCAGGAGAGTATGAATCAAATAAACCAAGTATAAATGCATATATTTTTATAATCGTTATCTTTAAACTTATGTGATTCAACATAAATCCATATCTTGAACCTTATTCATTAGAAACTACTATGAATTTTCAACTTATCTATTAAATAGTAGAATCCAAAAGATTTGTAACTAATAATACTTAACTAGTGAATTAAATATAATGCTAAATTTAGTGATGGATAGTCTTATTGTCATTTAATCCTTAGAAACCTATAAAAACAATTAAGTTTTGGATTAATGTGGTTTTTTATCATTTCTATAAAATTCTTTTGCATTTTGTGATTTATTTTGTTAAAAGTTTATTCATCATAAATGTATACAAAAATGTATTTTGATATATAAAAAAGAAATTATTTTTATATATTGAATTAAATATGCTAAATTCATATCTTGAACCTTATTCATTAGAAACTACTATTACTTTTCAACTTATCTATTAAATAGTACGACCCAAAAGGCTTTTAACTAATAATACTTAAATATCGTATTAAGTGTAATGTTAAATTTATTGTTGGTTAGTCTTATTGTCATTTAACTTATTTATACTTAAATATATAATAATTTAGATAATTAAGTATTATGATTCAAAGTTAAACAATTATATTTTTACCATTAGAATTTGATATTTTTATTCATTAACTTCCACAAATTTATGGAAAACATTTGAGTTAATTATTTGATACTCTTTTTTATTTATGTTTGATAATAAACATGCTAATATATTATAATCTTTAATAAAACCAAGAAAAAAACAAATATATAGATTTTATAAACATCATCATTTGTTATATAAAGTTATTATTGTTTTAAGTAATTTATAAATTAAAAAATATATAATTTATTTGTAGCACCTTTTAGCCTTTTTTAAAGACATAATGTTAACCGTTCTATTATTTATCGTCTAACTTATTTTTATTTATATAAGGTTTTATGATATTATATAATTTATTAATTGCAAGGCCCCTTTAGGAGCCCTATTGGTTCTCAATTTTTTTCTTTCATTCAAACTTCTAGATCCACCGCCTACACTTCATTGGTTTTTAAACCCGTCTAATACTATGTCTTTCCAAAACTCGACTTTGATGCAATTTTTATACTATGGTTTTACAATGTTTTGAATTAAATTATTACTCTGATCTTCATGAAAAAAACATTGGATGAATTACTTATTGTTTTCAAAAGAAAAAATTTGGGTTGAAAATTAGGATGTTACATAACCGCACAAATAAATGCATTTAAAGGTGCGATCATATGAAAACCGTGCAAATTATTTGTTGGTGCGGTTTTCCTATAACCATACTAACAAATGCATTTGTTGGTGTGATTTTCCTATAACCGCACCGATAAATGCATTATTTCGTTCAAAATTTTCATTTCGCGTGAGATCCCCCAACCTTTTTTTTTCGTTTGACTTTTTGTTTCCCTCCCAGTTATTTCGTCTCCTCCGTTTCTCCTCCCAAATCGACTCATTCCTGAATATGCTCTTTGATTCCAAAGTTCAAAAACATAAAGCAATATAGGTATCGCTCGATTCCAAAAATAGTAATCTTCTTCTCGTTCCCAATATTCCAATAGGCAGAAACCCTAGCCAAAAACTACGACGACCCTTCCCTCCTGCGACACTTAACCACTGTAAGTTTCTTGGTTTGTGGGGTTTTTTTTTCTGTTAATATGATGTTTAGATTTCTGTAAGCAACACTATTATTTAGGTCTATATATCGTTATGGCCGATAAGTTGCTTTAACTTCCTAAACATGTTTTCTTGTTGCTCGTATTCTAGGTATATCTCTTTTACTTCATTATCCAACGATAAAAAGAATCAAAATTTGATATCCAAAAGGTATTCTTCTGTTTCTTTTTTATTTTCTTATTAACTAACTGGATTATAATTTCTATATTATATTTATATTGGGATTTTATGGTTTAGGCAAAACCAATGGTTGGTAATCTCAACTAGAGGTAGAAGAAATGTTGTCTCCAGCTTTCCAAGAGGGACACAGAAGTCGTCCCAGATGTGTAGTGAAGAATAGTTGCTTTATTTTTTTGTGCGGTTGGTGTGGTTTCATATTTTATGGTGCAAATATTTACTGGTTCGGTTCCTTGTTTGTTGGTGAGGTTATGTATTCTTCCTATAATGTTTGTCGGTGCGGTTTTATTTGTCTTTTGGTGCGATTTTATAACCACACTATTAAATTATGACATTTTTTGATGTGATATTTATTGGTGTTGTTCGATACTCGCACCAATTAATCATTTTAACCGTATCAACAAATGTATCATGTACTAATGTTAGCGGGATTATGGGTTTCCCGACAAGCATTGATGACCAATGTTTTTGATGTAGGACTGAGGGTGGAGAGTGGTTGCAGTAAAGAAATGATGAAGCGAATCTACGTCTGAAGGATTAGGAGATTTAGGTTTTTAGATGTAACGGGAAACTAAAATCGTAACAAAAACACACTATAAAAATGTTTGAATAAAAAAAAGTTAGTAGTCAAAAATGTAATATTAACCAAATCATAAGGACGTATTGAAAATACTCTCACAATAGTGATATGTTAACTATACAATAATTGTTTTTTTAAATAAAACACTTTGGCCGTTTATAGACATTTGAATATATTATCTTCTCACTTGTTCCTTGAGTTAATCACTTTAATTATCCACCATTTACTCAACTATAAAAAAACACCCTCATCGAACAACCACCTTCATCACATCAATGGAAGCATCTTCCTTAATTTATGCAGTTGTGGGGCTAGCCACGGTGGTACTCCTTCACCTTGCTTGCCAACTCCGCCGTCCCACCAAACCCAACCTCCCTCCCGGCCCCAATCCCTGGCCCATCATCGGAAACCTCAACCTCATGGGATCACTTCCTCACCGTTCCATCCATGAACTCACTCATAAATACGGCGACATCATGCACCTCAAATTCGGTTCCTTTCACGTCGTCGTGGCCTCCTCCGCTGAGATGGCTAAAGTCTTCCTGAAAACGATGGACTCTAACTTCATCTGCCGCCCCAAAATGGCCGCCGGGAAATACACCACCTATAATTACTCCGACATCGTCTGGTCACCGTACGGTTCCTACTGGCAGCAAGCCCGTAAACTGTGTATCGTGGAGCTGTTCAGTGCAAAAAGGTTGGATTCGTTCGAGTACATTCGAGTGGAGGAGATGAAGTCGCTTTTGAAGGTGGTGCACAAGTCGTCAGGCGAGTCCATTGTCTTGAAAGATTTGTTGTGGACGGTGAGTTTCAATATAATCAGTCGGATGGCGTTGGGAAAGCGTTATTTGGAAGAATCGGTGGCCGGAAACTTGACCATGAGCAGCAAACAAGTTAAAACGATGTTCGAAGAAATGTTCTTGTTGAACGGAGTGCTTAACATTGGGGATTGGATACCATGGATTGCTTTCATGGACCTTCAAGGATACGTGAAAAGGATGAAAACAGTTAGCAAGAACTTCGACGGATTTCTCGAACACGTTTTAAACGAGCACGATGCATGCAGGAAGGCTGAGCCGCCGGAGACTTTTGTTCCGGCAGACATGGTTGATTTGCTGTTGCAGATTGCAGATGATCCGACACTCGAAGTTAAGCTTGAGCGACATGGCATCAAGGCGTTCACACTGGTAACGTATATAACTGATACAAACTTCAAAGAAAACCCATTGAAATTTTGAAATGCGCATTTGAGTTAATAATAATCTTAAATATTTACAGGATATGCTTGCAGGTGGAACCGAAAGTTCAACGATAATAATAGAATGGGCGATGGCAGAACTTCTAAAAAACCCGGAAATACTTGAAAAGGCGAGAGAAGAGCTGGATCGGGTTATAGGTCGAGAAAGATGGGTCGAAGAGAAGGACATGTCAGACCTTCATTACATCAAGGCAATCGTGAAGGAGACGATGAGGTTGCATCCGGTTGTCCCGCTATTAGTTCCACGAAGAACACGCGAAGACTGTAAAGTAGCTGGTTATGACATTCCAAAAGATACTATAGTTTTCGTTAGCGTTTGGACAATTGGACGAGATCAAGAGTTGTGGGATAAACCTTTGGATTTTTTTCCTGATAGATTCATTGAGAATGACATCGATGTAAAAGGTTATAACTCCGAGCTACTACCGTTTGGTGCAGGTCGAAGGATGTGTCCTGGTTATAGTTTAGGACTCAAGATTATCGAAACAAACTTGGCTAACTTGCTCCATGGATTTGATTGGAAACTGCCAGGTAAAATGACGAAGGAGGAGTTGCAGATGAAAGAAGTATTTGGGCTCTCGACACCTAAAGAGATCCCACTTACTACCGTCGCTCACCCAAGGCTCGGATTCAAAATGTATTCTTTGTGATCAACTTTTAAGTGTGTATTATGCTCTGTAGCTATATAGTGTACACCTATATTTACATGCACTTGTCACTTGTATACCTAGTTTTATAGGAGTCGTATGTATTAGGCCGGTGGAGTGATGCCGTGGTGCCGATGTCCACCTCGTTGCAAAACTTACAAAACGTATCCTTTTTTTTAAACAATTTAATATTGCTAAAAACTAAAAATTTCGTTAACATTAAACTAAAACATAAGAAAATAATAATAATAATAATAATAATAATAAGAAAGATACAAAACTACATTTAGGAATTGTTTGGGTTGTTTCTAGTTGATGTTTTTTTTTATTGTTTTGAGAATTTGAAGAAGACATTTTTGTAGTAAAAATATTGAGTAGAATATATAAGGTAAATTGTTTGATGCAGCAAAAATACGTGTATTGTTGTATTTAAAAATAAAGAATGTATCCATTTAATTATCATCGTACAATGAGATGACAAACGAACAACATAAATATTGTACAATGAGCGAGATGGCAAACGGAAAACATAAATAGAAAAAAATTAAGACACGAAAAGGTCAAAATGAGTAAATTGAGAAAAGAGAGTCGTCATTGGGATGTCATGGTGCACACAATTCTCTACATGCGAAGCACCTGGCATGATGTTTGTCGTTCCACCTTAGCAATACAATGCCCCTTATGTCATTTCGGTAATACCATATTTATTAATTGAAAGAGTAAATTACGAGAATTGTCTCTAAGCTTTATCAAGAATTTCAAGATTGGTCAAACTTTTAAAAGTTTCCCAAAGATGTCCCTAAGTTCAGATTCTATTTCAAAAATGGTCCCTCTCCACCAACACCATTTAAACTTTTTCTAAATCCTCCCAAATGCTAATCATAAGAGGGTATTTTGGTATTTTTCTTTCTCTCTAGTTTAATACCAACATCTGTTCATATTCATTTAGTATTCATATATCTTTGTTTTTAAGTTCCCTAAAATATACTTTTCATTTTTCCGGTCATCATAGATCTTTTATTCTATTTTCACTCCTATTTTGCTTTTGAGATCTTGATAGTGTTCAACAATGGTGAGGAAACGTGGAACTACATCCAAATCTATTTCAACTATGCCCATGCAACGAGGTTTAAATATGACAAATGTAACTATTGGCGTGGGTACAAAATCCCAACATAGTTGTTGAAGCGAAGGAATTGAATAAAACATTCTTACTTCCAATAGGGGCATTGGTGTCTTCATATTTGGACAAATTCTATTCTTTCTCAAGGTTTTAATTTTTAGAAACGGCGATATTAAAAAGGCCACCCGGCTAGCAAGAAACTAGTCGAGGGCAAAAGGAGAGTTACAACTTACAAATTACAATAGTGGAATGGTGAGCAACACCACTCAAACCATTTACACGAATTATGAGATTTTCTATGTTTGTGCCAAGAATACACCATCGATATGAAATCATCAGCAATTGTAGTTGGAGATGTAATCATGTTGTTGTAAATTTTATTGTTTCTAGCTCTCTAGATTCGCCATAAGAGACCATATAAAATTGTCATTAATCTATTGCGTTTCTTTGGACAGTTCTCTCATCTCGCTCCAAGGTCCAATAATTCACCAACATTTGAGAATAATTGTCGAAGGATATCACACCAATCGAAAATCAAGTCGAGAGAAGCAGTGGCACGCGAGCAGCTAACTAGGAGATGAACCACCGATTCATCTTCACCTCTATCACAGAGTGAACATTGTGTCAATGAAATACAAACACCTCGTTTAGCAAGACCTGTTGTAGATGGTATTCTACCAAGCCTTGCTCTCCAGATAAAGCATAACACCTACGATGGGACTGTTTTAATCCAATCGAGGTTACCTATTAAGGGGAAAAATAAAAATCAATAACTTCCTCGTAATCACCTCGATATTATCGAACAAGATTTGCAACAAAATATGTATACGATACCCATGCTTACAATTCATGTGTTGTGTATTATAATATCTTGCTTTTATTTTACATCATTGTACTTTTTTTATTAAAGTATAGCACTTTGCAAAAACTATCCACTTATAGCATTGTAATTTCAATTTTTTCTTATTTGGACATTATACTTTGAAAATATTATGTAGTAGGGTGTATAATAAACAAATCATTGAATGGACATTGCTATATGTTGCATTTAACCTTTTCTTAACAGTTGATCATCACTTGAGTATTCTAGAATCCTATGTTTATTTTACAACATGGTATTTTTAGGTTTCATCTTATTCATGTATTATACTTTGAATAGACATTGTTATTTCTATATTTAACTTTTTTTTTAACTAAAATAATATGTTAGATTTTAATTCATATTAATACAATTTCTTTAATGTTGATGTCTTAGCTCAAATGCAACCATTACCCTATTAAGTGAAATAGTTTGGTGCTAGTTATGTTGGTCGAATTGATGTGAAACAATATGAAATTTGTAAATGTTGATGATGACTAAGATTATGCTAATATATCAAAGATAGGAAACCATGAAGAAAATGTTGCTTTGGGCCCGAAGATAGTGGGGGAAGTAACACGAATAGGTCGAATCCTAATGCTCTCAATCTTAACTAGTGTTATACCCTCTATTGTTGGGTATAAAGTTGTACCGAGTTATCAAAACAACGTACTCTTGTTCTTACATTTTTTTGATATATGATATAAAAGGAAAACTCAGTTTTGTTCAAAACTATTAATAGAATTACCATCCATTTGGAACTTCATATTAACAATTGTCCATCACCCAATTCCATCTGTTTTCCTGAAATCAAAACATAAAGGTGACAAATAGATGAACGATTAACAACTCAAAAGAAAGGTCATTAGTGAACAAATGAAATAATCTTTCTATTATAGAAAATAAGGCCTCTTAGGATCTCTCTTACACTTTCAAAAATTAAAAACCCATGTAAGTCAATTGATTATAGCAAGAACATTAGAAAAATGTGTTTAAGACTAGTTTTCAAAAGAAAATTTTCATTTTTTTGAACTATTTTAAATAGTGAAATATCTTCCGGTGTCAGGTATTTCTATATATTGAAATGTCAAACATTATGTATTTTCCATTGTATATTTTTGTGACCTACAAAAGGGAATGTTAGTTTCTTTTTTTCACTATAAATATCAACATACTTTCTTTTTAATATTTTGTTACATATATGGCAACTTAGTTTCTGAACTACATCATATACAAACACGACAAAACTGTCATACCTTGTATACTGAAATGTCAAGCTTAATACCCTCCGACTAGCAGCATCCGGTGTCGGGTATTTCAGCTGGGTGTCAATCGATGACAATGACAAGACATGACAAAAATACATGACACAAAATAAAATTAAGAACAAATCAAAATACAAATTTGTGCCCGTGTTCGTTTCTTTTCGTGTCAGGTCTAAAAAATAGGATGTCATGTCCATGTTCAAAATTCAACACAAAATTGACACGATTTAGCATGTGGTTGTCATGTTTTTCATCTTTTTCGTGGTATAGATGATTAAGTATGAATTAAATAAACTAATAATTGTATTATTTTGTTGGTATGCGTCTTGTTGTGTTTGTCGTGTTTTAATCGAATCATTTCGTGTTAATGAAAATAAACACAACATTGTGGTGTGTTGTATTACATAAAACATCATCGTGTCGTGTCGTGTTAGACAAAAACATGACACAATTGTACGATTTTGCACTTAATTTTAGTATACCGAAATCTCAAAAATTCATTCTATGGCCAATGGTTTATACCCTACAGTGTCGGTGTAACATCCCTAAAATTTCAGATAAAAAATTCATTTTAAATTCATTCCAAAACATGCAATAATCATGTCAAAACAACCAAGAGTGTATCGTAGTGAAATAAAATCAGAGTACAAAATCCCAAAATCACATAAAGCAGAAAAACATGGGTGGATGTGGTGCGATCAAGTCGGGCCCTTCCCTTTCGGGTTGGAAGTACCTGAAACATAAACTGAAAATTGTAAGCACAAAGCTTAGTGAGCTCACCCAAAATACCTCATACCAAACATACATAACAGACAATACACAACTGGGTCTATTTCACCCCCTGCGGTCTCTTTCAACCGGTACTGGGTATATTTCACCCCCTCCGGTCTCTTTCAACCGGTATCGGGTCTATTTCACCCCCTATAGCTAGCATACAAACATATGAGCAAGACCCACAAAGACAACAAGCACATACATGCATAACAGTAAGTGTCACAAAGACAACTATCATCCTACAAACATATCCAATGGGCCGGCATTGGTGCCTTTCGACCCAAGAGTATAGTGGAGGAACTCACCTCAGTCTGAAGATAAACACATCACACTCGGATTGCAGAATCGAAAATCACTACACTAAATCACAAATAATATAACCCTAATTAGCCATTAGGTCATTAACCCAAACCAAGGGTCCAAACTATAAAGCCCGACTCCTAGGGTAAAAATACTGCTTTACCCTTCCCTTAATGGGCCTAACATATCATGGTCCAATTCTAAACTTGTCCAAAGTCCAAGACACACTCAAAGAGCAATATGGGCCCAATCCATGAAGGCCCAACTTAGCGGACTTGTGGCCCAATAAGGGCCCAAAACCCTAAAACCCCAGGGAGTCCAAAACAAAAAGCCCAAATGGGTGTTATGGGAGAGTACGCTTGACGTAATCGTTTCTACACCCCGCGTACAACTGATTCACATGGGGAAAGTTACTGGGCCAAGGCGCAGTACGCACATCGTACCAAAACTTATGCCTGGCATTCATATCCAAGACCCAATCTTTCTATTAAGGTCTTAATGCTTTAGGACCCAACGTCCAACTTCATATCTAAGCCCAATAAAAACATATTAAGCCATAAAGTTGTAATCTTTATGCTTTTGCATGTCTTCATAAGTTCCAAAACCCAACTTAAACACTTTATCCACATAGAATGAACACCAAGGATGACATTTTTATGCACTAGCAATATCATAAATGATA